TGCCTGACGTGCGCGCTCCGCGAGGGCCAGCCTTGCGGCGTCTACACCGAGCGCTGCGGCGCCGGCCTGCGCTGCCATCCGAAGCCCGGCGAGCTGCGCCCGCTGCAGGCGCTGCTGGACGGCCGCGGGCTCTGCGCTAACGCCAGCGCCGCCGGCCGCCTGCGCGCCTACCTGCTGCCCACGCCGCTCGCGCCAGGTGAGCCGCGCGCGCCAGGTGCGCCCCGGGGCCGGCGCCCTCGGCCCAGGGCCAGGTATGGGCGGTGCCGCTGCGGAGACTCCGCTGCTCTCCGCGCCCCAAGGGTTGTACGTGGGGAGACTGAGGCCCCGCGAGGCGAGGGCGCTCGCCCGAGGGACCCTCCGCAGCCGCTCGGCTCTCTGAGTGCGGAGTGCTTGTAAATTGCAAAGCGATTTCGGCGAAAGTAGGGGAAAGATTTCGTGGCGAGGGCGGGGAGCGGATACCGAGGTTGGCGGTCAATGGGAAGAACCTAGACACAGGAGACGCGGCCTCGTGAGCCCGCGCAGCGCGAGAACGTGGGCGTGGACTGTGCTGCGGGCTCTGGAAGGCGACTTCGGTTCCCACGAGCCAGCGTGTCCACGCCGAGGGCTGGGGGCCGGGGCGCAGGGAGGTGGATTGGAACCGCGGGAGGTGGGCAGGCACGTAGTAGGAAATGGTACCTGCCTTTAAAAATAGTAACATTTGCACAGATTTACGGTTTGCAGAGTAGTGTCACGTCCCGGAGTGTCCCTAAAGGAGCCAGGTGGGAATCGGATTCTTAGTGTCTTTGCGGTTGGACGTTCAGAAAGAAGTGGCTCTCCAAGGTCTCTCAGAGGCAGGGATGACCTTCCGCACAGCCCCCTGGCACACCCTACCCGTCCCCTGCCTGAGCGGCCCTCAGACAGACGCCAGGAGCTGAGGCTGCGGGCAGTGTGGACCCACGGACTCGGTCACGGGAAGCGAGACGGATGAAGCCTCAGGGCTGTCCGCTGCCTTAACCTGAAGCGGGAGGAATGCGTCCAGATCCGGAGCGGGAGGGCGCATCAGGTCCGCACAGGTGAAGGACAGCTCACTGTGCCCTGAGAAAAGTTCCTCCAATTTCCAGGCAGGCTTAGCTAGCCTCGCCTCGTGCCGTGAGCGGAGTCCCCACGCAGCTGGAGACTGGGAGAACTCGGCCCCCTCCGCCCGCCAGCCGGCGTGGGGGGCAGGGGCTCCCCTTATCGTTCTGGTGGCTGCACACTCCCACTGGGGGTGCGTGAGGCTGTGTGCCTGGTAGGCAGCGCTGGCTCCGTGTCTTCCAGGACTGGTGGAAAGACAAGTTTTCAGTTGCCTGAGATAGTGCTGTTTCGCACCAGTAAGTCTGTTCAGATTGCCAGAAGCGTTTCTCTCTCGGGACAAAGTGATGCCATCACTGTGCCACCTCATTGCTCCAGCGCGTTTGGGGACATTCGGAAAGTGGTCTAGGAAGGTCTTATAAATATTGTCTTTTTTTAGTTTCTTTATTGGTCATATTCATTACTACCACAGTATGGACTGCTGTGGTTTGTTACAAAATTATTATAGAGACGTAAGTGACTTGTAAAGTCCATGTGGGGGGAGGTAAACCGCAATGGCAGTCCAAGTGGAAATGGCCTGATGACTTCATGCCTAAGTCACCAGGCATTAGGAAGAAACCTGGGGCGTTTAAGAAATTACTGAGTTCTTGGAAAAGAAATGCAAATATATTTATTTACATATTCTTAGCATATCCTTTGCACCAGTATCTCTCTGAAAAAGAAAAAGGAAACAACAAAGATTAAAGGAAATTGAAACCAAACCCTACCAGTTAAGAGTGTGGGCGCTGGGCCAAACGTGCCTCCCAGCAGCAGACCCCTTGGGAACCGTGCGACTCCACCTCCTAGGATCATTTCCTGGGTGGGGACGTAGAGACTCGGAGACGAGGGACTTCCCCAAGCCCCCCCCCCCCCCAGTGCGCCCTGCACTTGGCGCCTCCAGAGGCGAGCAGGGCGCCTGCAGCTGGAGCGCACTGACGCCCAGCCCCGCTCAGCCCTCCGCGAGCGTCCCCCGAGCGCCAGAGGCCCTGGCGGGCTTCCCGGCGGGGGCCCGCTGCCGCCCTACCGGGCGTGTTCCCGGAGGGCGGAGAGCAGTCAGCTGGGGCAGGGCACTGGGCCCCGCAGGCAGAGCTGAGTGGAGACCAGATGGCGAGGGAGGCATCGGGGCGCCCGGACAGCGTGGCGTGGCCGTGGGCCGCTACCTGACTGCGCGCTCGGCCCCGCGCCCGCAGCTGCGCCACCTTCATCCTGGGAGAGGAGCGCGAGGGTTCTCGCCGCGCCGCAGCCACGGCGTGGTCAGCGTAGTTAAGCCTCTGCACTGGACGTTCAGACCCCAGTGTCATCAGTTCAGAGAGGGACCTGCGGGAGGTGGCCGCGGGAGTGGGAGCCGTGACGGGGCTGATGCTGTCTGCGCCCCGTCACTCATGTGCCCACTCGAGGAAGTTCTCGCCCAGGAAGGTGCCCCAGGATACAGGGTCTGAGCAGCGAGTCAGAGGCGTGACGGGGGACCTTTCTCATCGCGAGCCTGCCTCCCAGTGAAGCTGCAGAGGTTCCTGGTTGCCGGCACCGCAGCAGCCCTGATTCAGCGCGGGTGGGGGTGGGCAGGGCCTGCTGCAAGGGGCTCTGTGGGGCTCCGCCCCCTCCTGGAGGAGGCGGGGTGCCTGGAAGCCGAGTGCACCCACGTGTAAAAGCTCTGCTCGCATTTCACTTTAAAAGACTCTTCTTGAGGTGAAGCCACTCCCACCGCTGCTAGTATGACAGTCACTTTACCCAGCTCTTTTCTTGACCGCACTTGGGGTGTTGAGTGACTTCTCCGCTTAGATGTGACTGGGCACCACAGCAGGTTTTGAGAGGACTGCGTTAACCGTGTGTTCTCCCTGTGGCTTCCAGGAAATGGCAGTGAGTCAGAGGAAGACCGCAGTGTCGGGGACACGGGCAGCGAAGTGCCGCCCGGCACACACCGGGTGCCTGACTCCAAGTTCCACCCTGGCCACACCAAGATGGACGTCATCAAGAGAGGGCACGCCAAGGACAGCCAGCGCTACAAGGTCGACTACGAGGCCCAGAGCACGGACACCCAGAACTTCTCCTCGGAGTCCAAGCAGGACACGGAATACGTGAGTGTTGGGCCCTTGTCCCCTTGCCGACCGGGTGAGTGGGGCCTGCCTGGGCACGCCAAGGTCCCGGAGTCCCTGTTCACTCTGGAGCCCCTTCTTCCACAAAGGGCAGTGACCCCTTGGAGCCCTGGTGCGGGTCAAGGTGAACAGAGCTGCTGGAAGTGGAGAGTGCAGAGCTCCGCAGTTCAGGGGAACACTGTCGCATGCACTGCACTCTATTCGCCTGGCCTGGGGTCACTGTGTCCCCTTCTGGGCCTTGTCTGGGGACACACAAGAGATCGGCCGTGGGAGTGGTAACAACTACATTCAGGGGCGCAGTGCAGGTCCTGCCAGGCAGGCTCTGGTGTGTGGGGTTTGTGAGGCAGCTGAGCTCCCAAATAACCACAGTCGATTGCCCCCGCCCCCCAGGGGCCCTGCCGCCGGGAAATGGAGGACACGCTGAACCACCTGAAGTTCCTGAACATGCTGAGCCCCAGGGGCGTCCACATCCCCAACTGCGACAGGAAGGGCTTCTACAAGAAGAAGCAGGTGAGCGCATCCTCGCCAGTTCCTGTCCCCCCCCCCCGCCCTCCACTCACTGTCCCTCTCACACCTGGCCTTCCACATAGTGACAAGCTGTGAAGGGTCTCACACGTTGCACATGTGGGTACTTTGAGCCTCAGGAAGTCACTTCCATAGATCCCAGTGACATGGTGGCAGCGTGTCAGTGGGCTTTCTAGTCGGACAGCTCCTTCACGGTGTCTGCAGAATGAGCACAGAACAGCACGTCATCATAGCCGCCTCCGCCAGGGGCCTGCCTTCTCCAGTGGCCATGGGCCTGGTGGCCTCTCATCACACCTGTTTTCTGCCCAGCAAACTCCCTGAGAAGCCAGCTTAGGGTCTGCTGTCAGAGACACACGTGACCGGCACAGGGCATGGGCCGTTCTCGTCCCCCGCCACGCACACACGGCCTTGCCCGACCTCCACAGCTCTTTCTCAGGCGGTGCTGGGAAGCCGCCCTGGGTCCTGGCACCTGCCCCTGCTGGCAGACCCCACGGTGGGCGCCTCCCGGTGTTCACATTCGGCTTTCTGTGCTCCGTCCACAGTGCCGCCCTTCCAAAGGCAGGAAGCGGGGCTTCTGCTGGTGTGTGGACAAGTACGGGCAGCCCCTCCCGGGCCACGACGCGAAGGGGAAAGGGGACACACACTGCTACAGCGTGGAGAGCAAGTAGACACACGGCAACGTAAGCCTGGGGCCTGGGCTCCCTGTCAGCCACGGGGCAGGAGGGAGGGTGTGAGGCGGAGGCCTGCAGGGCGCTCCGCCTGGGCCGGGACAGACCCCTGAGGAAGGTGCAGGGGCCCAACCCAACTAAACAGGCGGGGCCGGGCCCAGCTGTCTCGGAGACGCTGCGCCTCATTTTAAAGAACCAAGACCATGTGAGCATTCACACATGATGCAAGGTTTTCCGAGTTAAGCTTTTTCCCTGTAAGCCTGACAGTTCCCTTATCATCACAGGTAAACTCTTCATCCAAAGGAACCTGTTAAAGGAACTTGTTACTAAGTTAAAGATGTGGCTATATTTTTCCCTGTAAAATGCATTATGGGTCTTCTGATAGTCTGTGGTTAATAGAATTGTAATAAAGTTTATTTAGTCTGATATGGAAATGAAATTTTAAACCATCGTTTTGAAGAAGGCTAGCATATTCAATATTCTTTTTTTCTTTTAATAAATGAGAGAGCTTTTGAGGAAAAAAGAATAAATATATTTCATCTCCTCAAGACAAATTTATGTACACAGAAGAAAATTTCATTTTTATGTTTTGTTTCCTTGCAAGTTGGAAAAGATAATTCAGTTTTAGGGTGACTGTGAGCGTCTCACAGGACTCTTTGCTTTGTTAAAAGTATGAACCTGGGTGTCACGTCTGATTGTCCCAGGGCAGGGGTGGGGGCCTTATTGATATTGGGGGGTTATTTCAATATATTTCTTTTTCTGTTTATTTTAGTTAATGTGGGGCTCAAATATGCCTATTTTGCACAAAAGACTGCCAACGACCTGATCAGCAGCTGGCTACAGTCTCGATTTATATTTCTTTCTGTAAAGAATTCTTTTTTTTTTTATTAAAACCAGAGTTTAGAGAGAGATGTGTGAAAAGCCTAAGGTTCTTTCCTGTAAGTGGTGAACTTGAGTGTCTTTCCACTTTGCAGTAGTCCATGAAACAGTGTGGTTTTTCTCGTCGCTTCCTTTAAAACAACTTGTAAACTGCAGCACAGCACGGCCAGGCCTCACGCCACCCTGGGCCCCGTGCTCACGGTCGCGGCCGACCCCCACTTCACGCCTTCGCAGCTGGGTCGCCTCTGCAGCTGCACACTTCGTCCCCTCTGTGGCAAGAGCACGGGCCTCTCGAGAACAGGAACCCCTGGCACACCCAGCTGGAGCGAGGGTCTGCTCCCTCCGCCCACAAGACAGCTCCTGTCTTATGGTCTCCTGCCCTGCGTGGGAACCAGTGGAGGGAATAGGTGGAGTCTTGCTTATCCAAACAAACAAACAAAAGACTAAGAAGTTCTGGGGAACTCTGGGAAGCTATCATGGTGGGTATTTCTGACCCTCCGTTGTCAGACGGGGTTTTTGCTGGTGGCCCCATGGGGCAGGGGGCTGGTGCAGGGGGAGTGCGTGCCAGCCCTTGGTTTCAGAGGCATCGAAAATAGTAGCACGATGCTTCAGGTGATGGCAGAAAATGGTGCCTTCCTGCTCTAAAATTCAAGACCAAGGTTACTGTTGAGACGCTCCTTAAAGGTAAAGGGAGTTTGTCCATCTCTCACCTTTCGTCCTCCTCAGCACGATGTGAACGCTAATGACTGTATCTAACCAGAAAGACACGGGGTGTGGGGTGCTGGCGAGCCAGCAGGAGCACAGAGTGGCCCCGCTTTTGTTTCTGATTCACACGTAGACACAGGAGAAGCCTCTTCATGAGCTGTCACCACTGTGCACGTCACAGTCAGATGTGACAGACCTGTGTAGATAACCCCAGCTGATAGCCCGCTACAGGCATAGCCACAGCCACGGAGGCCCTGCCGCCCGCCATAGTCACCGCAGGGCCTCCAGACACCTGCCTACCTATTAGCTTGTCTTTATTTTTTTAATAAAGCTTTTGGGGGGAAATGTTATTTTTGAAAAGTTTGTTTTGCAATGTATTTATAATTGGTAAATAAAGTTCTCACCGTAAAGAAACCTTCTCCCCGTGTTAGTGGCCGGCCCCGGGTTTGGTGTGACTAACAGAAGGACCCCGACCTGGTGCTGGGCCTGGTCGGAGCAGCACAACAAGCACATGCCTCCATCTGGCCCCACGGAGGAGGTGTCAGGTCGCTCAGCAGTGACCTCCAGTTCCAGGAGGTCTGGTCATCAGCCCTGCTCCTGTCCCAGGAGCAGATCAGCATGTGCATCTCTGTGGCCCTCACTGCATTCAGGTTTTGTCCCCATTGTCCTATCTGTCACCGTGCAGGCAGGGACAAGGGAACACACACTGGCCAATTCAGCCTGATGTCGTTCCTCAGTCCTTTCGCCCTCTGCTTGGAGAAGGGAGTGGACCAGGCAGGAGGAGACACTGGGTGGGGTTCTGGGGTCTCAGTACCCTCTCTAGCCGAGAGACAGCTGCTGCTTGTCACAAAGCCACTTAAGGCACAGTTCTGAGCCTGTGACTTCAGGAGCGAGGGATGTACTGTGTCAAGGAATCTCGTGTTAGAGCCCTTCCTGACTGGTTAGTAAACCGTCTAAGGTGGGTTCGTATCACGGGCGTGTGTGCTGAGCAGTGAGTGCCAAGGGGTTCAAGATGGGGGGAACAGGAGTCCTCGGAGATGACATGGGACCCAGGAAGGAGAGCGCTGGTCCTGGGGGTGGGGCACCTGCAAAGTCATGAGGCTGAAAGGAGGCAGGGGGAGCCCCCCAGCAGGCAAGCTCACCGGGAACAGCGCCCACAGGCCACGGGGTGGGGGCGTGGCTACCTGGGCCCGGGCGGGATCACACCAGGAGCTGGGAGCGCTGGGAGCCCCTGGCTGCCTTCGCGGAAGCACCACATCACGTGCCTCCTCCACCCCACCCGCCACCCGTGTTCTAAGTGCTCCGCTGCCACTCGGGTGGACACGTGACATCGGCCCTGGCTGTCTTCCGATCTCCCCTTTCACCCGCCCAGAGTCACCCATGGAGTGTGGGTGTGGCCACTCCACTCCCTGGGCCAAGGCCGGCAGGTTTGGGCATGGTTTTCCAGGGTTCTAGCAAATGGGCACACTGGGAGAAGAACGGCCACTGACCATGACAAGGGTTCCCTGAAACATGGCTTCTCTGGTGGCAACCTGTCCAGGGACACGTTTCCTCTCACAGTCACGCACCTTGGCCCCATTGTTCCGCTCCAGAAGCGCAGCTGGAAGGCACACATGAGGCCCTGGGGTCCGTGTGCTGGCTGGGTGGTGGGAGACAGGCGCTGAGGGGTCAGCTCAGGGCCGGAATGAGTGGGGTGGGCAGCGGAGTGACCTGGTGGAGCCAGGAGGCTGTGTGGCAGGGCTGGGGCATGTCTGCAGGACCGCACCCGGTACCTGGACGGACTGCATGTGGGCGTGAGATGATGGAGGTAGCCTGTCACAACCGACAGCGAATCTGAGCCACGTGCAGCAGCCTTTCCACAGGAGAGAGCCCGAGGAGGCAGTCTGGGGGCGGGGGGCGTCGGACCAGGCACAAGTTACGGCTGAGACACGCCAGGTGTCCACACGGAGGCGCCCGTTGAGGACACTGCACCACCTCCCAGGAGGCAGCCCTGGACCAGTCCTGAATGAGAAGTCAAGGTCGCCCGAAACAGTGAGAAGCCCCCGGGACTGTGAGTGGGGTGTGTGCACCAAGGCCGGCTCACGCAGCACATAGATGTTTAATCATTTGAGGAACTAACTACCAGACTTTCCCACAGCAGCTGTACCGTTCACATTCCCACCAGCTGTGAGTCAGGGCTCCGACGTCTCCACACGTCTCCACAGCCTCCCGACACTTGTCACCTGACTTTTGTGATCAGAGCCACCCTCGTGAGTGTGGAGTGACACCTCACTGTGGTTTGGGTTTGCATTTTCCTGGTGGCTGGTGATGCTGGGTATCTGTCATGTGCGGACTGCCAGGTGTGTGTCTTCTTTGGAGAAATATCTGTTCACAGATGTTGCCCATTTGTTAACTGGGCTGTCTTTATATTGAGTTGTGGGCGTTCCTTATATATTTTTGAAGGGCCAGCCAAGTGACTCAGTTGGTTAAGACTCACTCAAGAGTGGGAGCTCTGAGCAACATGGTCGCCAGTTTGAGTCCCAGCCCGAGCTGAGCTACCAACAGGTGGCAGGATGGCTCAGCTAAAAAAAAAAAAATGCCTTATATATTTTTGATAGCAGCTCCCTTATCAGATATGCGATTTGCACATGTTTTCTCCCATATTGTGAGTTGTCTTTTCATTTCTTGATGGGGGCCTTTGAAGCACATAAGGTTTTAATGTTGATAGAGTCAGATTTATCATTTTTAGTTTTATTGCTTGTGGTTTTGGTGTGATATCTAAGGATTGTTTGCCTAATCCAAGGTCATAAAGATTTACCCCTATGTTACCTTCTTAAAATTTTAAACTTGTAGAGTTTACACTTAGGTCTTTGATTTTGAGCTTACTTTTGTGTATAGTGTGAGGCAGGGACCAACTTTATTCTCTGCGTGTGACTATCTTGTGTCCCAGCCCCATTCATTGAAAAAACTCTTTTATCCCCATTAAATGGTCTCCCCACCCTCACTGGAAATCAGCTGACCATCAGTGTATGGGTTTATTAATGGTCTCTCAGTTCTGTCTTCCATTGGTCTCTACGTCACCTTGTTCCAGTAACACTGTCACAATCACCATTGCTTTGTGGTGAGTTTTGAAACCAGAAAGCATGGCTCCTCCTACTTTGTTCTTTTCTTTTTTTTTTTTTTCAGGATTGTTTTGGTTATTCTGGGCTCCTTGCAATTCCCTGTGAATTTTAAAATCAGCTTCTCAGGTTCTTCAAAGAAGTCAACTGCAATTCTGAAAGGGGTTGTGTTTAACCTCTAGGTCAGTCTGGGGGTACTGCCAAGTTGTGACATCACATCTTCTGATGCACGAACATGGGATGCTTCCCATCTATTAGGTTGTCGGAAAAGTTATGATGTATTTTTTCTGTGTCTTTTGTCGCAAAAATGCGTCATGACTTTTCCGACAACCCAATATTTAGATCTTTAGCTTCTTTCAACAATGTTTTATGGCTTTCAGGGTCTAAGTTTTGTACTTCTTTTCTTAAATGTACTACAAAGTATTTTATCCTTTTGGATGCTATTATGAGTGGGATTGTTTTCTCAGCATCACTTTTGGATAGCTCTCTGCAAGCACATAGGAATACAATTGATGTTTACCTGTTGATCTCTCCCGAGTGTCGTTCGCTCACTTATTAGCTCTGAGTGTCTTTTGCATGTAAGGTCATGTCATCTTCAGATAGATACGGTTTACTGCTTCCTCGATCTGGGTGCCTCTCTTTCTCTGTCTTGCCTGTTCTCCCTGGTGGGAGCTTCCAGGACGATGCTGACACAAGTGGTGAAGTGGACATGCTTGTCTTGTCCTGGTCGTGGGGGAGCATACGGAGCTTCACCACTAACTGATGTTTGCTGGGGGTGGGGGGTTCTAGGAGCATTTTGTCAGCTTCCTTCTACCCCTAGTCTGTTGAGTTTTCTAATCATGAAAGGGTTTGGGATATTACCTGCTTTTTCTGAGTCTATTGAGACGGTCATATGGTTTTTTCATTCTATTGATGTAATTTATTACATTAACTGATTTGGCAATGTTAAAACAACCTTGCATTCGTGAGATAAATCCTACTTGGTCACGGGGAATGATTACTTGAATATGCTGCCTGAGTCAGTTTGTTAGTATTTTGCTGAGGGTTTTGCATCCATGTTCTTCAGATATTTTGATATCAAATGCTGAGCTCACAGATCACTCTTAGGGGCTGGGCAGAGGGAGTATAGCAACTGTGGGGTTGGAGGGGGAAGGGGGACACGTGGGAATTGCAGCCCAGACCCAGGGGAGTGGGGCTGTGAAAGGAGGGAGACGACCTGGGGCGAGCAGAGGCTCTGGCTGAGGGGAGGATGGGGAACGGGGGTGGCAGGGCAGCCAGGAGGCCCTGGTGGGATCTGCTGGGATGGACCAGAGACCCGTCCGTGGAGCAATGTGGAAGGAGCCCCCGGCAGGGCCGGGGGGCCGTGCAGAGTCAGGAAAAGCCAGCGGGCAACCGTTTAAGGACGAAGGGCTCCAAAGAGCAGAGAAGACCGTGAGCCCAAGGCTGAGCCGTGCAAACAGAAGGGGCAGCGGGGTGCCCACCTGGAGGAGACCCCTCAAGATCAGCAGAGGACAAAGGCTGAGGGCGGCCGAGAGGAGAGGGCGAGGGAGCAAATGAAGGAGAGTTTGTCTTTCATGTCAGATGGGAGAAACCCAGGCCTGTTTACAAGTGGGAGGGAAGGGGCGAATGGGGAGGTTTGGGCAGCAGGGCGACCCGACGCCGCTGGGCAGTGGGACCCTTGGTCCCGAGGGACCTCAGGGGGACCTCGGTGGGGCAGACCTCCAGGGTGGGGCTTAACCCCGAAGCTGCAGCTAAGGGCGGAAGGGGAGGTTCCGCAAGAATCCACAACAGTAACAATGTCCCAAGAACATTTATTCCGAACATGTTCCCATTGTGCGAGTGTGTCTGACAATGTATCCAGTGCCCGTGCTCACATGTAGCCGCATCGCCACCTCTCGCTGTGATTAATCAACACTTAACTTCTGCAAATTTATGCCAATCCCAGATAGTGGGATAGACTGGAGCATACACGCTTCAGCCTGGCTTAACTGTCCTCCACCAGCCACTGGAAAACCACAGCTACGCGTGTGATTTGGCATTTTCTAGGCGGTATTTTCCCATGCTCTTTACACACAGAAGCACAAACCTTGGAAGAGCTAAAATGCAAGTATTTACATACAACGTGGTGAGAAGTGTGTCATGATATATAAATTATACAGCACAAGTTACAGTGTAGAAAAATAACTTACAGTGAATAAATAAACTACAGCTTCATATATCAAATAGTATGTGCAGCCTGAAAGGTTGTTCCTATATACACATATATATAAAAGTGTGTGTTCTCGAGTATAAATATACTATGTACTTAAATATTTCATGGGAGGGAATAGGGAGTACTGCTTCCGTTCTCAGTGAAAATACTGATGGCAGCCGGGGTCCCCTCGGACCTCCACAGACCCTGGGATCTTCTTCCCGTTCCAGGGGTAGACGCACCAGCAGAGCCCGGCCTCTCCGTCCAGGGACGTCTCACACTGCAAAAAGATGCAAGGTCAAGAGGGGTCGGCGGGAAGCTGGGGGGAAAACAGAGGTCCATGCCACCAAGCATCACGCGGAGTGCAGTGGCTGGGAGCCCAGCCCGCGAGCCATGATCATGACTGTGGGCAGACCCAAGGAACCAGGGCGGTCCCTGGTTTTCCTCATAAACTGGAGCCAAAGCCCAAGTGTCCATTCCACACGCGTGCAGAATGGTGTGATGTGTGCACGGCCGTCTGCTTCACGGCCCCCGTGGCAGAGCCCCAGGCCCCCCGGGCTCCCCCACAAACTCCTACTCTGTTAGGAAGCTCTGCTCAGCCCTCAGTTTCCCGCCTGATAGCCACAGAACCTGCGCCTCACTGCATCTAAAAGGGCTCCCCAAATTGAGTCTTGGTTGGTTGATCTCATTGATTGCCTGGCCAGCTGAGAAAATACGCTGCATTTAATTATCGATTTCTTTCCCCTTGTAGGGAGAAAAAAGCAAGAGGTGTCCAATTAGACGCTGGCTCTCCTAAGCAGAGCCGGTCCTTCTCCTGGGGAGACAGGTGAGGAACGCAGAAGGGGCGGGGCTGAGAAGGCCCCACCTGCCCAGGCAGTAAGTGAGGACAGGGGCCCAGCCCGAGAGTGGGTGTCCTCCGCAGCCCTGAGCGCTGAGCTGGCCTTCCGGCCCCCGGGCTACCTGCTCCTTGTCCCAGAGGGCTGCATCTTACTGAGCAGAGCTGCTCTGGAGCTTTCTGGAGCGCTGGGCACTGGGCATGGAGTCCGAGGACACGGGCTGTGTGGGGACACGCACCTGTTTGCTGTAATAGAAGCCGTCCTTGCTGCAGTTGGGCAGATAAAAGGTGTAGATCCTGTCCCCTGCTTTCTGCTGCTCCTGAGCTAGTCTCTCCAGCACACTGTACAGTTCCCGTTGGCAGGGCCTCTGAAAGAGCAACGTGATATCGAGATAAAGGACAAGAAAAGTGATTTCTCAGCCTAGGCGACAACGGGAGGAAGCGGCTGAGTGCGGCCTTGGAGGGGAGGCCTGGGCCGGCCTTCTCTGGGCCTCATTGTGTCCTGAGTGGGTGCTCAGTGTTCCTCCCGGCTTGTTAAGGGCGGGACCCCGTGCCCTAGCCACCCCTGAACACCATGGCTCCCTCCCACTGCTTCTGCCCTGTGGGTCACGGTGGCACCAGACGCCTGGGTGGAAGGGGGACAGCACTCCCTCCTAATGGAGAACTTAGCCGCAGAGATTTCTAGGCACCAACAACTTGCCATCTACAAGGTTAGTTTACAGGCACCAAGTCGGGTGAGGATGAAGGCACTCGTCTGGGTAATTTGGTCAGAATGAACTTTCCTTCGTTTGTCATCATTTCCAGATGAAATTCTGAAGTGTCGGGAGAATGGTTTAACCCTTCACTTTCCTGGGTCGTGCAGGTTGCGGAAATGACATTTTTTGCACAAATCCACCCAGTCACTCCAACTTCGGTTCTTTGTCGCCCTCAAGTGGCAGGATTAAAAACTGATGCCAGTGAGGATGTAGTCGCCCAGGGATGGGCAGTTTCCGTTTGGGAAAAGCAAGTTTGAAGATGGACAGTGGTGATGGCTGCAGAATGCTGTAACTTTCCCTCATGCTACAGCACTTTAGACCTTAAAGTGGCTAAATGCTAAATTTTATGCTATGTGTGGTTTACTACAATTTTTTGGAAGGTGGAGGGAGACGCGATGGGACGAGGGTATTAACCCTGCTCTAAGCTTCAGATGCTTTTTGGGCAGCCTCTCGTCTGAGGCCCGTATTCAGAGACGAGCCCAGAAACGTGAAGTAACAAGGCTAACGTCACACAGCAGAAACTGCACTTCCTTTCCCTGCACAGGCCCCGCTGCTCAGAGTCCTTGTGCTCCAAGCTCAGCTGAGAAATATCTGCTGGGCTCTGGGGAGGAGCACACTTGTGTTCAGGGCCTCCGGACCCGCAAGAGGCCGGCTCGCCTGCACAGCACAGCAGGCTCAAGCTAGCAGTCCCCTTGCCCCGGCCTCACCTTCCCAGTCGTTGCCTCGGCGACCTCGAGAGCCTTTGCACTCTGGTAATTACTGATAGCGTTCCAGAGGATGGGCAGGTCGTCGCCAGACGGGGCCATCAGGTGGGAACTGCCCAGCAGCTGCTCCTGGGTCATCTCTGCGCTCTCAGGGGACACGGTCTCTGGGGCCGCAGAGCCCTTTGCGTCTGAAAATGGAATGCCACAGACCCATGAGCCCTCCCGAAGGGTCTGCACCTGTTCCCCTGAAGTCACATCCGTTCCAAAAAGACCAGGCTGGGACGTAAGGCTGGGACACTGACCCAGAGTGGCGCTGCCTCCCTCCCCACAGGCACCTCCGACGGTTCCGAGAGTGACACCGTCCGTTCTGGGGAAATGCTCAGCTTCCGGTCTGGCCAGGGTGCCCTGTTTCTACTCCCCCCACAGCGGAGAGGGAGCCACGTGCGCTGTCGTCCCTGTCCCCGGCAAGAAGCCCTGAAGCAGCCACAGGCTGGGGCTCAACGCCTGAGCCTGCCCTCGGATTCCCGCCCATAAAATGGACATTTCAGTCACTCCACGTGAGCAGGCCGTGGGGCCATGCAGGAGTAAGTCTGGATTCCAGCTGTACCCGTCTCTCTCAGCCTGCCCACACTGAGGGGCTTCCCACAACCCCCAGAAGCGGGGTGTCAGCAGACATCTTGCAGGTTGTCCTAGGGTTTGGACAGAACCACCCTGAACTGGCCTCCTGAGGGGCCCCGGGAAGCCCTCTGCTTGGAGGCCACTCCATTCCCCTGACCCTGGAGGCACAGAACAGCAGAAGGCCGGGCCTGTGGGCTGCGGGAACCTGGAGGTGGGGAGCGGGTGCCAGGAGGCACTTCCTCTGCTTCCCACTACAAACAAGTCACTGCTAAATTCAGGAAAGAGCCCGATTGTCAAGTTCTGGGGGGCGGCAGGCACATCAAACGCTGTTTTCTAGGACTTGAATGCAGTGAAGTTTTCAGCCTAAACTCTCACATTATGTTCTGTAAACATCTGGGAAGCACATACTGTCTCCACAGGACGTATATTACAAAGGACACTCCAAACATTGGTGGGGGGCCGCAGGAAGGGCTCCCATCCCAGACCTTCAGAGGCCCCAGCCACTGGGGCTGCCTACGACCCCAGAGAGGAGGCCCAAGGGCCCTGGCGGCCCCCCCCGCGGCCAGGGCACCCCCACTGCCGGGCACCCCCGCCGGCCCCCTCAGCTCTCTGCGGGCTGTTCCCAGCTCTCCCATCAGCTGCCGGTGCCCCTGGGCCCTCCCCCAGGACGTGCAGTCGAGGAGGGCCCCCCCCCCGAGGCTTTGCTCCCCGCCGGCTGCGGGCTGCGGGCGCCCCAGGCAGGCTCGCCCGTCCCGGGGGAGGGGCCCAGGTGGGGGTGACGGGCCGTACCTGTGGCCTCAACGCCGGGCGTGGTGTTTTCGGGGAGCGGCATGCAGGCGCCCCGGCCGCGGGTGAGGGCGTGCAGGGGCCGCGGCTCCCCGGGCGGCGCCCGGCAGCTCAGCCCACGGCCGCAGCGCGCAGTGGCCACGCCGCAGGCGGCGCCCCGCGTCAGGGCGCACGTCGGGCAGC